TTATAAATTCATTTATAAGGTCTAAGAATAAAAAAGGAAACAATAAGGAACTTACCCTGAATGAAGCTCTCACGTTTTCTGCTCGTTTTGAATCAAAAAGAAAGTAAAAAATGAAAGTAATCAAGTTGGGTCCACCTTTCCTTGAGTCAAATTAAGCTTTAGTACCTGAGACAATTGCAATCAAATAAAAAAAGCACGGAACCAAGCCTATTCTTCCTAAAAGCACTCGGAGCCAGGGCACATCGTTGTTAGGGATTCCTCATTAGAGGGGGTCGTATTTGGCCGGTGGGAGAGGGGAGGATGTCGTAATGAGTGGGGCAATCAGTAACGAGCAGCGCAAAGGTGCCATTATGCTGTGTCCTCTATAGTGAAACTTGCTTTGTAGAGGACACGGATATGTAAAAAAAATAGCACAAAACTTACACTAATTAAACTAATAAAATTAATTGGAAATATTAATAAGTTTACATCATTTCGTAAGTACGTAGATGACTAAATAGTACAACTTATACCCTGCTTCGCTGCGGATGATGGTGCGTGTCCGCGCAACCGCGCTTGGCGCGGCGCCAACCTGTTTTTTTTTCTTTCTACAAAAGACAGGAGTACCATGTCGTCCGTACTAGACGTTTTCAAGCAGTTGGTCTCCTTTATCGGACTCAGCAATTGGTGGATCACGGATTTGGCGGCAACGGACAAGACAGTTCGAACAGCTAGGAAAACTCTTCAGAAAATCCCCAACGCGATCATCTCATGGATCCCGAAACCCCCAGAACAATCCAAGTGGTTTTTGGGAACAGGAAATCTTCTGATACCCGACATTGGTTTTGGCTTTGTAAATAGTCAAATTTTTAGAAAACCATCTTTGTTCACCACGACAGTTTGCATCCAATTTCGATAATCCCCAACTAACCCTGAATTTCTCTGTAAACTTGACAACCTTCATAGACATTTCAGTACTTTTCGGGAAGCTCACATCTTTTTCTTCACGACAGCTTTTCCCTCTTTGCCAACGGTCTGCCTTTGAGGAACTTATAACCTTTAGGAGACAAGTTGCTTTTCTTAAGGGGATCTAGGAAAATGCGTCTCAACGCAACCAAAGCGCGGCCGCGTACGTATTCGTTATTCAAAAGCATGGTTGCCACTTCCTTTCGCGTGCGCGAATTCGAGCGCAACAGTCTGTAGACTGAAGCACAAAATTGTGCGGTGTAACCCCACACAGCCCTTCACCCTCCCAGAATTTCCGAAAAGACTTGAGGATCCCTAACTCGCTCAGTAACATGGCAGTGGAAGAAAATAGATAATCGTTATGAATTTCGTAACTCCCACCTGTTTTAATGCATTAGCGACATTGCGTCCCAGTGCTGGGATGCGGCATGGGTAAAAACCAGTTTGAACATGTTTCAAATTTCCAACAGCTACATATTATCCAGGAAGGTATTGTATAATACACAGTAGCTGTAAACCATGCAGTTGTGTCATTGAGAGTATTTTACCGAGGAGACAAACAAAAGTTATTTACTTAGGAAAGAAGGTAACTTTGGATTTATAGAACTGAAGCTCCACATGCATATAGTTAATGTGATAAGGTAACTTTCCACAACAGCGGATATGGATCGAATCCAATTTACCACCTCTGGCGCGAAAATATACCTTTTGAGATCTTATTCCCACGTTCCACGTCAATGCGGCGGGAGTATCCCATGAAAATTTAGGGTTTATCTTGAAAGAAACCAAAAATAGCGATGCCTTACCAGCTTCTGCTCTGGAGGCGGAGTCAAGTCACTGGAAAAAAGGAGGCGCCACTGAACCTATATTGCGTTAAAGGCACGTTCCGCGACAAACTAAAGCTAGTACCTCATGAACGTGTATTATGGTCAAACAGGCAACAGCAGAGGTTATACTGCTTTTAAAAGTTGAAAAACAGCATATAAAATGCAGCACGCTCAGGTTTTAGGCCCATTGGCACCTGATAGGCCCATACCGGCCTCCAGTGACCGTGTCGTTGTGAGCTGCCATTGCTCTCGCCCGCCGTTCTCTGGCTTCTCTCGCCTCTAATCAGTGCATCGCCGCCTTTCGCAATTCACAACTGATCTTGACTACCTTACGCTCGTCCGGTGATCATGATCAACTGCAATAAAGACGGTCTTACTCCGGGTGCTTTTTGGTGCTTCCTTCTCCTTCAGTATGTCAACCAACACACGGCAGTTCTATTTTTAAACAGTATTACCTACGAGGTTTGGTCGCGGAATCGCCTTTGAAGCGCCCCTTCCTTACGATTTTTCGCCTTGAGGCGGAATCTGGAGGCGGAGTCACTGGAAAAAAGGAGGCGTCGCTGAACCTATATTGCGCTGTAGCGCCCCACCCTTACAATTTTTCGCGGACCACACTACAATCCCGACACCATATTTCCAACTACTATACCTAGTCGCGGACCGAGCCTTTAAGTGGCGGCTTATGGCTTTCCATCTTAGCTGAAGTAACACATCTATTATAACACCCGAGTTCATTTAAACTAAAGTGGAACGAGAGAGCAATTTCGCTGGAATTCTGCCTTCCACGGAATTTTTGAAGTTTCATCGTACAGAAATCCGTTGGCTGGGTGACATTCAGTGCTGGAAGGTGATCAGAGGCCAGGGGAGAGGGGAATTTTTAGCTTGGCACTGGCTTTCTTCCACGTGGGTATTGCAAGAAAATGCAAATAAAAAACGAAAAAACAACAAGTCTTAGAAGTGGGGGGGGTCTATTGACCCAACTTTCAGCTGGGGGTCGTACGGACTCGACCAAAATCCTCAACTCATAATGTGCCCTGCTCGGAGCGGTCCAAGTAATAGCGTCGGGGCACGCTCTGTCGCGAATATGAACGCCTGAGCGCTATTCAATGCTCTGTTAAGGGTGAGCCCAGAGAGAGTTGTTTCTTCACCAGCCTTGTCATAGCGCGGACAAACAGTGCCTCACGTAAGCTGGCGCCGAAATTGAAAGCTAAGTTCCCCATCAGGACGCCAGACATCCGCAGTGCGCGCGTTAAATCGCTTTCCGCAAATGACGTTTGCGCCGTCAAACTGGTGCCTATTGGCGTCATGGCGTCAGAAATGCTTAACACGTTGACGATAATCGCGTTTTGCGGGAAAGCGCCGCGTTGGACAATGGCGCCTTTCGCATGCGTTCGCTTTGAGCCACCGGCGGCTCATATTGTCCCTCGTGGAGCACTTTTTTGCTGCTATGTCAAATTTCACAAAACGATTATTCAGTCGTGCAGGGACTGCTATTTCAACCATCCTTGACCCTATTGGATGATATCTCATGCCCCGCCCTCTGCGATGCGCCCACTTTTTAGCACAATTTGATTTCCAAAATGTGTGCCATCACTTCTGTTTCTGAGAATTTTCTTGGAATTTTCTGCTTTTCACACATTACACAGATTCACAGACGGTCACGGCGCCAGTAGGCGCCAACACTAGAGGACAACGATATTCGTGACAAGGATGTCGAATAACCTAGCTATGGAAGTTTCTATCGCATTCAGTGCCAAAAAAGCTGCTAGCGCCGGAATGGCGCCTACTGGCGCCATATGGCGCCAACTACAAATAAGATCTGGCGCCATATGGCGGCAACGGCAAATAAGATCTCATGCTCATGATCAAAGCCCCGCGCGGTCCCTGCAGCTAAGTTTCCGTCCAAAAAGAACTATTGTGGAGGTTTCTGCCGCAGCAGTAGCTAGCTGAAAATTTCCATTTTTTTAATTCAAAATACCCCATGGAGGCACCAACATTTTTCTTGCTCATTCCTGTTGGACGTTCACCTCTCAAAGGTTATTCGACAGCAAGAAAAAGATCGATTGAGGCTGCCGCCAGTAACCCGAAAAGTGATGGAGAAAGTTATGAGCCACCGGTGGCTCAGATTGTCCCACGTGGCCACTTACTTATGAGCCACCGGTGGCTCAGAATGTCGTCAACGTGTTAATGTATTTAGAATACGCATGTTAAAGGCACGAGTCGTGCGACCTGTTGAGCGAATACACTTCAGGTAATACGGTTTAAAAATAGAGTTGCCCTGTGATTGTTGACATATTGACGGAAAAGCAAGCACCAAAAACTGCCCGCAACAACACCCTCTTTATTTCGATTGATCATGATCAATGGACGAGCGTAAGGTGGTAAGATCAGTTGTGAATTGCAAAATGTGGCGATACACTGACAAGAGACGAGGGAGGCCAGAAAACGACGAGCGAGAGAGAGAGAGCAATGGCAGTCTCACAACGACACGGTCACTGGAGGCCAGCATGGGCCTATCAGATGCCAATGGGCCTAAAACCTGAGCGTGCTGCATTTTACATGCCGTTTTCCAACTTTTAAAAGCAGTATAACCTCTGCTGTTGCCTGTTTGACCATAATACACGTTCATGAGGTACTAGCCTTAGTTTGTCACGGAACGTGAATTTAAGCAAGCGAAATGTAGCAGTTTGTATCGAATTTGGTGCCGAAAAGGCGCGCTAACGCCGATATAACGCCCTTTGGTGCCATGTTTCCATATTTCGCTGCCGACAAATACAATATTACAGTCAGTGCCCCTGGCACAGTCGTGATCAGTGCCCCTGGCAATCTCCTCAGTCAATGTTTCATACAGGAAACAAATCCTTTCCAAAAAAAAACTATGAAGGTTTCTGGCATAGAAGTAGCTAATTGAAAAATTTTAATTTTTAGTTTAAATTATCCCATGAATACCGCTGCATTTTTTAGCTCATCCTTGCTGCACGTCCACCTTTCTGAAATGAATAGTAAGCGCAAAAGCTCGATAGAAAGGCAGAAGTAGTGCGAAAGCTTATGATCCACCGGTACTTTATGTTGTCCTAGGAGGCCACTCGCCTATGAGCGTATGAGCCATTGCTGGCTCACAATGTCCTAGTTCTAGTGACCAGTCCAGAAGCGACGCTCAATAATTATACATCCACAGGTAACTTCAAGCACACTCAACTTCTGGCTGGCAGCAATCTCGATGAGAGCATGTACTTTATAGTTTATCAGTTGACGGTGAGTTTCATGGAGGCCGAAAGTCTACTAGTACCCAGAATTTTATTGAGAAACGTTTCACTTTATCTTATAAAACAACAATGCTGCAGAACATCTTCCCAGTCCAAGAATTTTTCGAAAAAAAGGACTTCGTGCCGGATCGATCTACATGGTTGAAAGCTATATCTGATCTGCTGCCACAGCAGATGATTAAGAGTCAGCTGGCCTTAGCAGCGATACTGCACGAGTACGAGCCTGCAAATCTACCAGGTATCGTTTTTACCTTGGCTCATAGAGTAATAAAATCGGAAACTCTGAGACAAGCACGTTGCCGACAGCAGAATTTGATTACTCAACCGCATGTCTGAGAGCAGGCAAGAAGAAACGTGTGGCATTGCTGGTGTAGCTGAGAGTAGAAGAGCCGAAAGTAGGCTCATGTCTGCATTCTCAAGTCATTTGTTCGGTTCCTAGCGAAGGAGAAAACCATGCCGTGAAAAACTGAAAAAAATGTCAGACTTAAGTTGTCAGAGGGACATAACCAGAAGCCAGTCACAAATAATGATCAAAAGTAGCAAAACAATCAATAATAACCTTGAGAACTCACCCTGCAACAAGGTAGAAGACGCGAAGCGGAGCGGAGTGCGGTATAGCGGCCGCGGAATCCGGTCGCATCTACTCCTACAACATCCGCGCGGCGCGGGTTGCGCGCGCGTGTCGCTCCTGGTGCCAATCTCTGGTGATTCACGCTTCCCAACATCGATTACAGCGCAAACCTGGCTGAGCGGGACTTGAGTTGAAGATCAGTTGGTATGTTTCAAAGTTGCAGCCTATTGCGATCGCGGTTTCAATGGAAAGAACGTGAGTCGAAGAGCAGTTAGCCAGTTTCACAGTTCATACTCTCGCAAAGGCAATTTCAATAAAAAATGACGTGAAAAGCAGTTGGTCTGCTTTTCACATCATTTTTATTGAAAGTGCCCTTGCGAGAGTATGGAACTGTGAAACGGGCTAACTGCTCTTCAACTCACGTTCCGGCTTCCAGCCAGTTTTTTTGCCGACTTTTCCCTGAGAGGGCAGGGAAAAGTCGGCAAATGTTGGCTAGAAAGTTTTTTCCATGGGTACTTCGATCTTCTTATCCCAAGTGTCGCATCCGTGCCCTGGAACTGCCTGGCGCTGCTCCACAGGCGCCAGCGCCAAAATGCACTAATCACCAAGTTTGCTGAGAACATGGCCAGAAGGGTGTTTTGCACCTGAACATGATCCACATCCGCTTGGTGCGAAAAACTGGTGCCCGCGCCAGAGGCGCCGGCGCAAAGTGCTCTCGATCGCAAAAATCGATTAAATTTGCAGTTATTTGAGATCGATTCTGAACATGACATTCATTCCTGGTGCCGGCCCTAATAGAAGACACTACGATCATCACTCCTTTTCCCAGGCTCAGCCTTAACAGAGCGCTTAATCGGAAAGTGGATGCCATTTTTGTGACAAGGGCAGCCCCATTACACGGGTTTTCATCAATTTTGGTGAAAAGGATGTTACGACAAACGCGTCAGAGCTAAAAATTTGTGATCAGGGCACCTAATAGCCCCGATAAGCAAGATTACACCTTTTTAGTAAGGAAAGTGCATTGATAAGTTGGCGACTACGGGCGCCTAATGGGCCGCTTCAAAAGCGAATGTCATACTCTTGATCAGGGCAACGGAGAATCCGTACAAGCAAAGGTTTAGCAGTTCTTTTTTTCTCGAGTTCTCGGGTGATAATAGTTGAATAGTACCTATATATGCAGACAGGTCCTCATGTCACTGCATGACGCTCTCCCTGCATGATTTTCATATGTTACCTATTACCGTTTACTATCTGCAAAGGCTTTCTCGTCCTTCTCAGTGAAATGCGCTTGCGAGGTGTATGGAACTCTAAAACTGGCCAACTGCTATTCAATCCACGTTCTTCTCATTATAACCACGATTGCGAAAGGCATGCAACCTTGAAACAGACTTACTGGTCTTTCACTCAAGTCCGCTCAGGTTTGCACTGTAATCGCTATTGGAAAGCAAGTAGGCGAGCGCGCATCGCAGAAGCTGCATTCCCTGCTTCTGTCGTAAGACTGTCTACTCACTAAAGTTTAAGGCATCAAAGAGGTATATGAAATCAGCGTATAAATGACATTTACAAATTTCTACTACGTAGGATAATAGGCACGACATAGAAACGACAGACAACAGGAGACCAACAGTTCTGGATTAGGCAGGGCTTCGCCCTGAAGGCACTGAGAAACAGCTCCAGCATCCTCGAGATCGGCCGATGATCGACTGTCGTTGAGATGCCAGCTCGTCCTCGCCTCGCCGTCACGCCCTGAAAGTACAGTCATGAGTCATTCCAGCGGAATGCCGATTCCACGCCTGAGTTGGCGTGGTTTACACCTTCCCCTTTACCAGAAGTCTGTCCCGGACTTCAAAAGTGGAGACGGTATCATACCCTATATAATAAGAAAAAGTAGCTAACCATGGTCTTCAAGGAGGGCGAGATACCGCTCAATGGCAGTGGGAGGAATCACGCGTTGTCAGAGTCGGCCCATTCGAGGACTCGACCCCACGACGGAATCTTGCGGAGGGACGCGGCGTGACCGAATATGAAGAGGCCGTGACGGCAGCGCGACAACGCAACGTTGAGACGACGGTAGTCATCAAGGAATTCGTCCGAATCTGGAGAGAAAGCGGTTTTAGTGGTGAGTAAATTGACTACCTCCTTCTCTCTGCCTTGAACCGAGCCGACGATGGTCAATTCGACGTGAAGCGCAGCAGGGTCCTCTCTGATCTGGCGATATTGCTCCTGTGAAACGTAATTACACAAGTACTCGAAGCAGATATGCCTTTGCTAATGAGCTGACGAATGAAGCTTTTGCACATCTCAGCTTCAGCATTAGAAAGGAAGTTGGGGGGGGGGGCGGCGACTCGAGTGACTTACGATGTCCATAAAGATGAAAGGAACATCAGCACTGGGAAAGCGCATATGGTCAAATAGAGCGACGGGCACCGCAGGCGCTTTGAGCAGGATGCTCATGACGCTGCGAGCACCAAAGAGGACGGGGTTGGACTTGCGAGGACACTTGCCGTGCGGAGCGAACTGGTGGCCGTTCCCTATGTAGACGTACCGCGCGCCTTCCAACCGGGCGACTATGGTAAGAAGCGCCGGTTCAGGGATTTGAGACGCCTCGTCCCCAATTACACAGCGAAAGGAGTGGACGTATACCAGTCTTACTCTAAGTCGAGTTCAAGAGGGAGGACGTGGTCATGCAAATCATGGAAGGGCGACGAACCCTAAACATGATGCGGACCATGTGCCTGAGCGTACGTGAGACGTACTGCTCAGCGATCTCATACTCCTCCTTGTCGTCATCCGACATGTCAGGTATGCGATGGGGGTTGTCGAGGTAATCCCCGAGGAGCTGACGACATTTCTTGAAATCGGCGTAAACAGCGCGGTCCTCGCCGTCCAGCTGATTTCGGTGCTGATCACAGAGGGTCTTAAGGACCTTATTGAGACCAACCGGGGTGAGGTTGTCGGCGGCGACGGTGTCTGATATGTGCCGAACGACTCTAAGCATTGGGAAATCGCCGAGTGACAGAAGTGTTTCTCTGAACTGGGTGACGGCTGCCTTAGTGGACGTCGTCACAAAGGTGGTTTTATGAGGGCGGAAAGGGCCGAAATCAGGGCTCCGATGAGGGTTCTACCTGTGCCGTAGGCGGCCTGGATGGCTACTATCGGCAGGTGGGCGGAGCCGATGCGAACAGCATCCTTCAGGTATGGGGTAAGGATGACCCTCCGGCCGCTGACCAGGAAAGAGCTGTCAGCGCCCCATGCGGGTGGGATGTCGCGCAGGTATTGCAGGTCGGAGGTGCCGAGGGCTTTGGAGAAGATGGTTTCAATAATCTCTCCACTCCTAGACCTGACTGTGATAGAGGGGAAGATACGCATGCCTGCGACGAACTCGTATATGGGGTTCGCCGCAGCGGAGGACTTTACGAGCAGGATTCTCACCTGGACCATGGGGACGCTGTGGACTGTGTAGCCATGCTTGGTTAGCGCGCGGTCAGGGGACCGTGGGACCACCGAAACGCTTGCACTGTGAAGTCTAGAGCCTTCTGGAGGGGATGGGCCACAACGTCGATGATTTTGACCTGTATGAGGCTGTCAGCGTTGTAGATCCAGATGACGGTGTGGCGGCCTGGGGACCAGCCGGCTTCCGAAGTCATGTCGGTAAGACGGAACTGGAGCCGGTGCGGGAACCATATGGGGGTGGTTGCAGAAGCGATAACCGTATAAGACTGATGGTCATCGTCACTCGCAATCACGGCGGCAAGGGCCGAGCAAGCAGCGTGCAAATTTTGCCGAGCTTGGTCGTGGAGGACGCCGGGTCAGTGTGATAGTTACTGAATTGTCCCAGGCGGTCTGCGAACCAGTCGCGATCGGCAGGAAGGGGTAAGGAGATCGCGAGGGGCACCGAGGGATACCTTCCATGGGGTGCATTGGCAAGAAGCGACGGACTAAGCCGGCAAGTACCGTGCGAGACGCAAGCGACACAGGTGGTTCGGAAAAGCGTATCGCCGCGGAAACATTATGACGCGCGCGAACAGTGATGATGTCGTACTTAGACAGGTGGCCCAGAGGGAATTGCTATCGTGGCTGAGAAGTTCACAGGCTTCGGGCAACCCTCGAATGCTGCCTGTGCATGCGTGATACAGTTACGACGCGTCACCAACGAGAGCACCATTCCATAGACGAGCTCCTCCTGATCATGGGGGGAGGGGGTGCGAGGGCGAAGTGCGATGCCCTGATAATGAATACGCAAGAGCTGGTGAGTGCGGTGGTGCGCGGCCAGGAAGCCAGCTGCAAAACCGTCCTCGGGGACTGCAGGGCTTTGCGGGTGGGCTTTACATCACATACCCAAACAAAGTTCTTGATCGAGACCTAAGTTTTGTTGAAGCCGCGGTCACCTTCGAGGATCTCGACACCGAAGTGGTCGAGGGCAGTGCAGTGGAGATCGGAGCCGACGGTGAAGAGGTTTTTAGCTTCTAGAACTGCGCCGGTACCCCAGCTCGTCGAAGCGACCTGGTACAGTACGGGACGGACGCCATTCCACATGAGCGGTACTAGGGCAAAAGGGCGAGCCGGCATATTTGTTGGCTTAAGGTCGTCCGAACGCGGCTCTTTGTATGTACCACCCAGAAGAGCGTCCAGCACCTGTTTGGAGCGGGCGCGCAATGCTATCGTATCCTCCAAGTGCTGGAGCTCAATGAAAGGAATTTCCGTTGGTAGTATTAGGTTGTCGCATAAGTTCTTATACACGTGTTTGATCCTCTCCTATTTCGTTCGCATGGATGTTGGTATTACATCATCACGTGTGCGTGACATGTACATTATACTCTTTCATTACACTAGCTATCACTCACCGAGCTTGCATTTGCAGTACACAATGGCCACTGCCTGGTTTTGCTTAACGATTCACAAAAGAAGCTTCGCGTTCTCAACTCGATGATCACTGGAAATGAGAAGTGGGTCCTCTACGACGACCTTGTGAGGGAGCAGGAGTGGGTCGACAAAGGAGAACAGCCAGAAGCCACCTTAAAGGCCGACCTTCACACCAAAATGGTTCCCCTGTTCTGCTGGTGGTCCAGAAGAGGCATGGAGTTCTGGGAGCTGCTGTAGAAGGGACAGACCATTGATGCTTCCACATACGTGACCCAGCTGCAGAAATTGAAAGATCACGTCGACCGTACTCGTGGAAGGAATGCGGAAATCTACTTCCACCATGACAACGCCCGACCTCACACTGCAAAGGCGACCCAGGCCGAGCTGGAGAAGTAGGATGGCTGATGGTCGGCCACCCTCCCTACAGCCCTGGCCTCGCTCCTTCTGACTACTGGGTGTTCAGCCACCTGCAGCGCTCTCTGGACGGAAAAAAGATCGAAACAAAGGTTCAGGTCAGAAAGGCACTCGACGAATTCTTCAAGTCCCAGCCCCCGTCGTTCTGGAAGGAAGGAATCGACAAGTTGCCTGAGCGCTGGCGTCGAGTAGTGGATGGTGATGATGCATACCTCTATTCTTCAGGTTGGTTCGCTACTGAGATATTTACGAAAAAACTCGTGTATAAGAACTTATGCGACAACCTAATATATCTTTACTAAAGACCACCCGAAATAGAGACTTATTAAAACGGATGGACATGTACCATAAGTTGGGTAGGTGACGATACACGGAGGGATCAAGGGTGAGCGTCACCGGGCGAACCTTGTCCCGTAGCAGGTGAATGGGGCGAGGATTGATTAAAGGAGTGCTGGTCGATCAAATAATTGGAGAAGTTATCCGGCATCCTCTGGGGAAACTGGCTGGTACGGACCTGCGGCAGGGGGGCACTATGACGCGGAGTACCGCGGCCTCGCCCATCAGCACCTCGGGCGGCAGGTGCCCCACGAGCAGGGGGGTTCTGCGGGTCGAAAGTGCGCACTGCGACCTCGTGACGGCCGTTGCCCAACCGCGGGTGTAACCTCGCTGAGAGGAGGTGGAGGGAACCGCTTCGCTAGGATTCGAAGGGGGACGCTGGGTCTGCGAAGACCTACGGTGGCCGGAAGACGATCGCTGAGCCTTAGCTGGGGTGGCAGATGAGGAGACCGACCTATTCCTAACCCGAGAAGAAATCTGAGGAGGGGATGGTGCGGGTGCCGTCACACTCAGCTGTTCCATCGAGGCGGTCATGCTCGCTAAGGGTTGCTCTTCCGAGAGGTGTGGAAGGTCCTGCGCGCTAGCCGTCTGTGGCGAGCGAAACGCAGAAGAGGAAGAATCCTTGGACGACTCAGAAACTTCGGTCGCTTGAAGATCCTGTGCACGGGAGTCGTCCGCTGACTGACTCGCAGGCGGAGTCGACGGCTGATTGTCCGAGAGTGGATCACCAGCTGTAGTACCTGTAACAGATTCCGGTAGCTGACTGAAATCAGTCTCCGCCGAAGGAGAATTCTCACCAATGGGCTCCGAAGTGTCCATTGGAGAATCACATGAAATTTGAGTATGGGATGCATCGCATCGAGTAATACATGTTATGTCAAGAGCCTGTTGGCTGAACATACAAGATTCATGAGAGGCCGTACCACGGCTATCGCAAGAAATCGGGGTTTCGGATGCATCGCATTGAGGAACAGAAGAATAACTGGACAAATCACCGGGCGGTAACTCCTGTGGAGGAGGTTTGTTGTCCATGACAGCACACAAATAAAGCAAAAGTAAGTTGTTCGGCTTACTCAAGTTCTCTAAAACGAGGAGGTGAGATGGAGATGTACTTACGAAAGCACTATATGCGACAAAAGCTGTGAGTGTAAAAATGATATGGAACGTGGTGAAGCACAATAAGGAAGGCAACTAGCGGTAATGAAAACGATAAAAATAATGAAGCCGAAATTGCTTGAGAGAATAGCTGCGGAAGCTACACAGCGTCGATGACATTTCTGTCGGTCTAATGAGCGCGACAATCTGAGGAATGGAGGCAGCTTGAATCGATCATAAGAGGGGAAGACACTGAGGAATGGCTTCAAGCAACCGCACAAAAAAAATGGCCGATGGCCGATGACTGCCTCATCGGCGGCGTTCGTGGCTGCTAGCGCAAGCTGTTCGACTTCTGGCAACCACGGTGAAGTAAACATCGGGCCTGAGAGCAGCTGGAATTGCTTAACTTAGTTTATACGAACCCGTTTAAGCGGGGATTGGGGTGATGACATGCTAACGATAGTAAGGTGGGGAGGATCGACTTTAATGACGCGAAACTGACCTAACCAAGGATAGGTTAATTTCTGAGAAAGCCATACCATAGGTGCTAGGTCACGGAGGAACACGCGATCTCCCACCCTTATGGCACGCGGGCTCAGATGAGTGCTGTCGTACTGCTGTTTGAATTCAGCTCGTTGGCGTTCGTTGAACTGGACAGCTGATCGCCAGGCCGCGTGGAGTGTAGCAGCTAAGTTTTGAACATATAACGCCGTGTCTTCAGAAGAAGAAAAGCCGGCTACGCAATTAACAGCTGTGGAAGGATCTGTTGGTTTAACGGTGGCTTCCCTTTTGCATCATGCCCTTTTCGCCTTATGTGTTGGAACCAATCTTTTGGCGTTCGCTCTGCACACGTTCTTAGCGGCCAATTCTACGCTAACCCTGCGCAACCTTATGGGTCGTGACAACATCGCCGCTACCGCTCTTGGCAACGACTTGGTTCAAATTCACCGCTGCATGCCCATACCCTCGCGCAGCTTTCGCCTAACACCATTCAATGGCACGTGCTTCACGAAGCCGCGAGTCGAACTCACTCTTCCTAGTGGGTCAATTCTTCACTCGTTTATTAATCCATCCACTTTGATTGTTTCTCAGGAGGCAAACCCTATTTCATGTTCTGATATTCAAGCTTTCTACCTTCGTTTTAGCTCCTCGTATCTCAAATTCGAGCCTTTCTCCGGTAGCACTCAACTAGTACCCTTCTCTAGCGTTCGTAACATCGGTGTTCCTTCCAGTCTTGATGTATCCGCTTTAACTCTCCCTCTCACAATATTCCATAATCTTGTCTTGACCACTGCCAGTGAGCTCGTCCAAGACCACCAGTGGTCCGAACTGTGGTCTTCTATAACACCAGACCACATTTTACGCATGGCTTCGCCTTCGCACTATTCGAGTACATCTGACTTCCGCCACGCAGCTGTCAATTACGTCTTGCGTTTGGTCCGCTGTCTTCGGACGGTAGTCTCCCTTTGACATCTGGGTCTTGCTGTGCTGCCTTATTGTGTCTTTCCGTATTCTGAAGTCTACAATTGTTCTTTATTGCAGTATTTATTATCCAGGCTGGAAGCCGCGTTTCCAAGAACCATTTGTTAAATCACGCAGTATAGCAATTTTAGAGATCATGCAAGCGTCGCACCCATTAGCTCTGCTACCCCACTTGTTCCTAGCAGACCTGAGCCTGAACCTATCGAGTTGGCTCGAGAAATAGCCTTCTTCATATAGCCGTCTTCATGGCCACCTCGCGCGATCATGAGCCCTATTAACGTGCTATGCCTGAGCAATCGGGACCGTTTCTTTGTTGCTCAAAACCCATCAAGGTCAACGGTATCCACGTTTTGGCTCTTGTAGACACTTATGCTTTAATTACCATCACCACTGCCGCGACACCCCCTTCATTCGGCGTCTTTCGTCGTCTTTCGGCGTCATATCGACAATGGTGATTTACGTAGCGCAGTAGGTATGGCTGGGATACCCATACAACTCATGGGTTGTATCCCTCTCGCCTTCGAGATAGGCTCACTATCCTTTCACCACCCTGTTTATTTCAGGAGTCAGCTTGCAGATACCTATAATATCATCGTCGGCAATGATTGATTGCGCAAGCTTCCCCCACGGACCATCGATTACAGTAATCGAACCTTTTCGATGGCCGATCAGCACGTCAAAATATTCTGTGCGTCATCTGATGACAGTGACCCGGAACCCGAAAATCTCGTTGCCGTCCGCGTCGCCGAAACTACCGTACTCCCGCCTTCAGCTGAGTAATTTTTGCGATGCTCAACTGACGCGAAGGATACAACACCTTTGATGTTAGCGACTCAAAGCGAGAAACTTTCAGAGAAATCTCTAATGGTCACACCAGCAGTTACTTTCTCTGGCAGTACTCTCCTACCCATCGCTATCCATCGTCACATCCGGAAACGCTTAAAAGGGCTAACAGACTTCTCCGGCAACAGTCATTTGTGAGAGTCAGTCTACTCTTCTCTCCATGCCCTTTTCTTTTTCTAGGCATTTTGTTGGCAAAGTTTCTTCTTGAGCTGATCGCACCGACACCAAGACCAATTCTGTTCTTCCTGCTCTCGATTTATCTCAGGCAGAAGTTACTGAGTATTAGCGTGAACATTTAGCTCAATTGCTCTACGAGTTGATAGGATCTCTACGGGCTCCTATGATTTGTTCTACGAGGACTCTGAAATTGTTATCGAGACCACCACGGAGACCCCTCCGACTCAATTCCCCCCCCCCTCCCCCACGTATCCCGCTCAAATTTCAGAAAGAGCTTGATAATCACATCAACGAGCTACTTCGCTTTACTATCGTCGAAAGCGACACCCCGTGGATCCACAACACTGTCCCTGTCAAGGAAAAAGATGGCTCTCTCCGCGTTTGCCTGGACTTCCGCCCACTTAACGATATTACAATCCCCGACCACTAGCCACTTCCGCGCATCGAGGATATATTCGCCAAAATTTCCGGTCATAAGTTCTATACTAATCTGGACTTAGCGTCCGGATATATGCAACTTGTGCTTTCCTCAGGAAGCCAGGAGAATGTGCTCGGGCGACTCATCGTGGAATTTATTTGTCTACCTTCCGTTTGGCTGAGAAACGCGGGTGCATATTTTCCTCGTGCGATGTCGCGTATGGCAGGCCTGGAAAGTAAGAAAGTTTAGCCTGTCTAGACGATATCGTGATCTTCGACAAAGACTTTCCAGTCATTTGAACTCCTTACGTAAGGTGTTTTACCGGTTTCGCCTTTACCTAGGCATATGGGAAGAAACTCACGGAAATTGCAAGATCACATATTAACTTGTTAGGTCATGAAATCTCCGGAAATTCCTGTACTCCTGCCGAGCGAAATATTCGTGCTATACAAAATTTCCCTACGCTGACCACAGCGAAGGCCGTGAAAAGCTTTATAGGTATGGCAAACTTTTTCTGCAATTTGTATAGTGAATTTTCATTGGTCGCATCACCACTGTACACCCCTCTCAAGGACAATGCTAAGTTCGTTTGGGGTACGCAGCAAGAGGAGGCTTTCCAATTCCTCAAAACCCATCTGGAACTATGAAACTATGAACTTATAGGGAAAACAGAGATTATGGGAGAAAACAACGCCTTCTTCTCAGCGCGGTAATGCTTTTACAAATCTCATTTTATAACATCCGCTTCTGCAACCATTTTGCTGTATCACACTGATATACAGGCGGCTTCGCCCGTTTTTCAAGAATTTTTTTGCGGAAACCGGAATTTTATGAATCTTTTTCCGTCGTTTTCCCAACCTTTCTCTACACAACGAAGGTACTTATAGACGCGCATTAGTGCACGAACACATCACTAACGCGATCCTTCTACCATGCTTACTTTCATGCCCTTTTTGCAAACTTGTGTTCCTTTTCCGGACATTCACATTTTTTGGCTGTTACAGAAGCCCATTTACTTTGTAGAAGCCTCGCATAATGGCAATCCCCCCACTGGCAGACTGCACTACTGGCTGAATTGGTAAGTCAGATTCTCGCTCGTCACTTGGAACACATCCTGGTTGTTTTTATTTATTCCGAGTGACGAGCGAGACCCAGACCTACCATGATTAACCCAACGGTAGTAATGGAGTCAGAAAGCTTACTTATAGCCCATAACTAATAGCGTTTTCCTCACCCAAAACTTAGCGCTGAAGATGAAACGTTCTGCCATTGAAATTCATACTGTTTTGCAAAGCATTCTTTGCCCTATCGATGGTGAGATAGTCCTCTCGTATTTTTTCATTCTGTTTCCACTAATTTTTAGATGCTCAGACTTTAGTGCCAGTCGACGACATTGAGAATTTTCGACACCCTCTCTTTTTCTCATCCAGTTTAAGGGTCAAAGCCGCGTAGAATTATTTGCTAGGTATATGGCCGAGAAGCTATGTCCCTTAGAAATGCTCACAATGGCTTGAAGACAGCCCCCGCGCTCGAGTAGTACATGGTCGTCCTTCCTCGTGCAAGTAGTACAGCCCCCAAGCTAGAGACTGCCCCACTCTATTCGCCTGCACAGCGAGCGAGAAGCGAGCTGCAACCGCTGTAAGTTCTAGTTCTAACATCTGCTCAATTGGACCGCCTTACTTGTTAGATGTCCTCCGACGGAGGCCACTCAGTTGTTCTTAGTCGGGGCGGTGGGCATTGCTAATGCCCATGGATAATTCTGCTCTCCTTCATTACAGTTTACTCATTGGAGGTATATACATTCAATTCAACTCATTTCGCGAGGTGAAACGCGTAAAAAGCACGAGTGACGCAATTTTCGTGATGCAAAACCTCGACCAAAACGTGCGCTACCGTAATCCCAAATTCAGACACGGCGTTGATAAAACTCCTTTTTCCTTCCAGTTTTTCCTCTGTGTTTTTGTTGTTTTCTTTTTGTATTCTTTTTTTGCACTGGATGATATCAGCTACTGCGAAA